CATTTCGGTAGAAATCTAATTGTCTAGCCGGGGTCTCGTCATAACATTTTTGGACATTCCATCTGTGTTATTTTCAAAATTTAGTACCACAATAATAACTACAATTATATTTACTATGTTAAAAAATATAATACCTGTATCCTAGTGGAATTTGTCCGTCTAATTATAAATTTACGCATAGTCTCGGTTTCAAATACAGTCTCTCCCATGCCCATACTTGGAGTAAGCTGAGACACCCTTTAAAGTCACTATTTTTCATGAATGCAACTTTGGACATCTTTCTATATAGATACGCCAAAACCGCACTACCCCACGATAATGCACCACACGTGTCCAAGTCCCCGATAAGTGGTAGCCACCTAGCATTTTCACAACATTTTAAGTTATCAAAATAATCTAATTCAATAGGCATAATTGTTAATACTGATAAAAATGATACCTGGCATGCACTTTATCTTTACTCGAATCTGGAAATAATATTGAACCGATCATGTGCATAATGTATGCACATGCATGTCGCTCAATCATTATTGGTTGCGCATCAAAAGGCAACGACACCGAGAAGGTCTATTTTAGCCACTTCAATTTAATATTTCCTCCAGGCATTGACTCTGGAGCTACACCTAACAACTCCTCATACTTGTCTCGCCAAAAATATCTATCACTACCGGTAACACAAGGACCATCTATGCGAAGACCAAGTATCATAGCTACATCCTGTAGCGTAATAGTAGACTCTCACATTCGGAAGTGGAAAGTGTTAGTCTCCGGCCTCCACCTATCTATCAAAGCGGTGAGTAGGGGCCAATCGAGCCTCATCCAACGAAGCTTTAAACATGTCAAGAAGCCGACCCATCCTACAGCTGCTATTATGCGCTCATCCTCTAGATGCCAATGGTGAGTAATGCCCTTATAATTCCTTTCATCCTATCCAAGATGAAAGTAATTAATCTAGGCGCACGGACACGAGGAATCCACTTGTATATAAGTTCAAAGAACCACTTCTAACTAGAAGTATCATCTACCTCCATAACTGCAAATGCTAGAGGAAATAAACCGCTATTTGCATCTACATCGGTCGCCACAAGAAGCACGCTTTTGTACTTTCCATATAGATGTGTACCGTCAATGCTCAATAACGGACGACAAAAAGTGAAGCTCTTAATAGCAGGACCAAATGCCCAAAATACTCGAGTGAACCTCTCTATCCCTGGTGAAATCTCTTCAGACAATATTTCATATTCAGTATCCGAATTATTTCGCTTGATAGCTTCAAGATACTGTGGAAGTAATTCATAAGATTTTTCTCAATCTCCAAATATTTTAGACAACGCTTTTCTCCTTGCATCATATGCCTTATATTTAGATATCTTAATTCCCCGCATATCATACACCCTTTGAAATATCTGATTTGCATTTAGATCAAGTTCAGCTCTAACTTCAGGCATAATTAGCTTATATATATAAGAGGAAGATGCAGAATAATAATCGACATCCACTGACGGATTGCAACGTGTATGAAGCCTGCAATATCTAGATATTACAAATTTCCCATTTGATGATTTCCTCACAGCTACATTTAGTAACCAAGGACATTTCATGTTTCTCTCATCTTGCTCATTTACATTCTCTACTTCATTCTTCTCGTTGAAATAACATTTTATATAGTAATGGGTTGCATTAGTTTTTACAGGCTTGAATTTGACCCGATTTTTGATAGACCATTCTTGGACCGCAAAGATTAATGCTTCCTTACTCTCGAATAGGTCCCCTTTTTTAAAAGTGAAATCCTCAGACCGTTGAAAATTTGGACCAACATCAACAAATTCAGCTTGCGAAGTATTTATCCAATCTTCATTATGAAACTCGTCGGGCAACGGATCTTCAGCTTCCACATAATCATTGTTAACATTAAATTGTTCCATCCAATGAGAATCATCATTGATTCCAACTTCCACATGCATGCTATCAATTTACACGCCTTCTTCTTCAATATCTTCTGAGTCATCATTTGCTTCTTCTTCTACAATTGATCCGGCCGGTAGATCACCCGTAACATAGCCCGAAGCGTCGTTAAATATAGTACTTGACGTCCCACTAAGAGAATGCCCACTTAAATATATTGTAGTTAAAACCACGACTTTTGACTTGGAAATGTCATAAAACCACTCAACTCATTGTCTAAGTCAAGCATCCGAGAAAACTCTCCTTGAGATCGTGAAACTTGGGCAAATTCTTGAATCGAATACTTCTCAATGAACAACTCAATTGACACTTGTTTCCCCACTAATTGTTTCATGTCATTCAATTCCTCATCGTCGGTAATCGCTACAGCAATAGTTCTACTCTCATTTATCGGACAATTGAAGAACACTTTAATTGCATACTCTGCTTTATTAATTTTCATAACTCTGTGTATTTCATTCATCATTCCAGCAAAATTGAATGACTTAGATAGCATGAACATTTTCCTAGAACCTCCCTCATACATAGGCATACTATTCAATCCGACGCCGAGGCTCCCATTGAAGAAGCAAATAATGGGTATAGAGTTTGCCATCGAAACTAAAAATCAACAGTCCATCATATGTATATAATCTATTATAAATGGAAATATTAATCTTAATTTAAAGTCAAATTTAAAACCATAATCTCAACTACAAAACAAATAATGGCTAAAAACCCTAATCCCAAATCACATTATTCATGTCTAAACCCTAATCATGGTTAAACCCTAATCCCAAATCTCAACTAAACCCTAATCCCAAATCTCAACTGAGAAGTAAAAAACCCTAATCACAAATCTCAACTAAAGCCCTAATCCTAAATGTCAACTAAATCCTTATTCCCACATCTCAATTGAAAAGCAAAAAACTCTAATCACAAGCCACAATACTCATGGTTCAACCATAATCCCAAATGTCAACTTCATTCTGAAAATTTCATAGCTAAACAAAATTAACAACAAAAAAACAACAACATTACCTTGGCCGGAGCTTGCTTGGTCGGATCTTGTTTGGACGGAGCTTGCTTGGTCGGTGGCGGGGGTCGGCGACGGGGGTCGACGACGGGGGTCAGCAGCGTCGAGACAGGGACGAGAGAGCGGAGGGGTCAAGATGGGTCAAGAGAGAGGGTATGGGTTAAGGGATTGACGGGTGAAGCAAATGAGGTAGGGGTTTGAGGGAGTCACGGGTGAAGCAAATGAGGAAAGGAGGGGGCCACGCGTAAAGCAATGCATTGCACGAGACTTCTAGTCCCGTGCAATTCAGAGCTGGGTCGAAATACACGGGATTAGTAGTCCCGTATATTTCAAAAAATTTCTCGTGCAGCAAAACCGACCCTTTTCAGAAGAAAAGGATCGGTTTTGCTGAATAATTCCAACTTTTTTTAAAATAACTCTCCCGAATTCGAATTGAAGATCGTAGAAATCATATTGTAACCTCTCAACTAACCGAGTCACCTGTGGAGGATAAAACCACACCTTTGGTTCTACCATTGTGCATGTCAAGATTTAAAAAAATTTAACACTTGTCCACGACAAGTTATTGTATATTGAAACTAATTAGGATAACAAAATTGAAAAGATCAAATAACAAACTAGCTATCTATTGTCTACTGCTTGGTAAGTCGCTCTCTCCCCCACAATTTTCTAAGGGGCTGTTTGTTTCGTTTCCCCCGTAATCCAAAACTCACTTTCCTTCACTTTTTCACTTTCCCTCACTTTCCAAAACCCACTTTCCTTTACTTTCTCTATTTTCCTCCAATAATATTGTGACAACTCATCCCATCACATCTCATTTCATACTTTTAAAAATAAACAAAATACAAGAAATGAGTCACATCAATCAACTCATCTAACTCACTTTCCCCCACTTTTCTTTATTTTCTATCATCTTTAAAAATTACCCACATCATCCAATAATATGGTGACAACTCATCACATCTCATTAAAATTTCCTTCCATCACTTTCCTCCAAAAAAACAAGGAAATTGATTTTCCTAAGTATGTGTCACATCATCCAATAATATAATGACAACTCATCTCATCTCATCTATTTTCCCCCACTTTTAGGAATGAACCAAACACAAGAAAAAAACCTAAACAAGGAAAGTGAAGGAAAACATCAAAAATTACTCACATCAACCAATAATATGGTGACAACTCATTTTCTCCCCCACTTTCGGTTATAGCTTTGACGAACCAAACCTCTGAAAGTGGAGGAAAACATCAAAATTCACCTTCTTTTCCCCCACTTTCGGTCTTTTTTTGCGAAACAAACAGGCCCTAATAGTAAGGTATCATATATTACTGTTGACAATAATTTTCTAAAAATTTATTCATATCAATATTGATTGTTAAGATGTTAAAAATATTTTTTAATGCACTTACCGCGTGGACCCAAAAACTATGGAACTCAAACTCTTTTAAGCCCCTATGGTTTCATCTACGAATCTATTAAGCCCCCGTGGTTTTTTTCGACTCTATTAAGCCCCCGTGGTTTCATCTGCGAATCTATTAAGCCCCCGTGGTTTTTTTGGGCTCAATTAAGCCCATGTGGTTTCATCTGCAAATCTATTAAGCCCTCATTCTTTTTTTTTTGACTCTATTAAGCCCCTGTGGTTTCATCTGCGAATCTATTAAGCCCCGTGCTTTGAATTTCAAATGGGACTTAATAGATTCGCAGATGAAACCACGGGGGCTTAATAGAGTCGAAAAAAACCACAGGGACTTAATAGATTCGCAGATGAAACCACGGGGGTTTAATAGAGTCGAAAAAAACCACGGGGGTTTAATAGATTCGCAGATGAAACCATAGGGGCTTAATAGAGTTTGAACTGAAAACTATGTTGAATCTTTTTTCACGGTCTTTTCACACGAGAGAATCTCTGTCCCGGGCCCACTTCGCATAAAACCGCCCGCATCCCGTAACTGAAGCTGCTGAAGTCTAACCGCTGCCACCCTCAACAATGAGTAAATCAAATATCAAATATCAAATATGTATGTATTTATAGGAATTTCCTCAAAGAAACCAAACCGCCTTCTCTCTCTTCCTGCACAAAACCCTCAAAACTAAACAACTATAGCGTTCTCTCTCCCGTACGCCAAAAAAAAAAAGGAAACATTGCTCGATTTATTCAAAATGACCTTCTCATTTTCTCCCGTCAAATCTCAGTCCTTGATGAAGAGGCGACGAGTCTACATCAGCGACGACGAAGAGCAAGAAACCCCAAAGAATCGGCTGCAGCAGCAGGCATTGAAGAAGCAGAGAGATGAGGAAATGGCTGACCTTGACGACGAGGCTAAACCCTCGGGCAGCCTGATTAAGGTCGATTTCAAGGGGAAGAAGAAGCATTACCCTTCGTTTGAGTACGGTGGGAATTCGTACGAGCTGGTAAGGGCTTTGCCAGGGTTTTTTTGTTTGATTAGGGTTTTGTTTCTCCTTTTTAGGGTTTAGGGTTTTTCTTTTTTTGCAGGATGATACGGTGCTATTCTACCCAGGGGAAGAGCAGAAGCCGTATGTTGGGATTATTAAGGTGAGTTTTGATTCCTCTGTTTGTTTGTTTTTTTTGAGAAAATCCTCTGTTTGTTTGTGTTGACAATGCGGCTTCTTTGTTGCTTGAATTGTTTATTTCTCGATTTTTATTTAGAAATAGGACTAGTTGTTTTCGTAAACTAATGGGTGTTTCTCACTTTATTGTGTTGGGTAACGAAATTTCTTGCCTGAAGTTTTCTTTGTGAAGTATCGTGTGAGCTAGATCAGGACAATTTGTGGTAATTTACGGCAAGGTGGATGAATGGGATGTGTCGGCGTGAGTTGGTCTAATAGGAAATTGGAATTAAAGGCTTAAGCGGTTAATAGGGAAGAGGGAAGAGGGGGTGTCGTGATAATCAGGACTCAACATAACTACCTTGTTACCATTTTGTTTTTTGTTTTTTTTGCTATTGGTCTTCTTCAAAAAGATGTTGAATTTGAATTACATCTCAAAAAATAAAATCTACGTTATCTAAATCTTTTAAATAGGTTTCTTCAACTTAAAATATGTTATTTTAAGATACAGCTTACAAACAATCATCAAAGCTTCACCGTATGCTCTTATGCTCTGTATGGGGAGTCTACAACAGTCTTTGCGTAGGTTTCAGGTTGCTAGGAGTTTATGGGTTGTTAGGAGTTGCTAGGGTGGGATTTGGTTATTTTGGGATTTATGGCATGGAGACGGATGAAAGGATGCCAGGAAGAAAGGGAGGAAGGGCGTTAATCTGGGTAGGGGTTCATTCCATTTGAAAGTTAATTAGATTTTAAGAAAAAACTAACATGCATGGGTATAACTTAAGTCACTTGAAGGACATATTTTATGATTCCGTCTTTTGGGGGGCCTGTTTCGAGTTAGACATCTTTTACGGACCAATATCATAAAATCCTATCTTTCTATATATGTATGACCTATTTGAAGTTAGATATCTTTTCGGGGACCAATATCATAAAATCCCATCTTTCTATATATGTAGCTAAGTTCTTTTTCCTGTTTCTTTCAGCAAGCTCTTTGTGCTCGCTGATTTCGCTACAAAATGTCAAGGAATATGACAACCGTGTCTGATAGAATTATTATGTCAAGGTTATCTTTTATGGAATGTGATAAATTGTGTTTTTGTGCCGTGAAGTTAATGGAGTCTGGTAATGCTACAGGCTCTTTAGTAGAGCAAGTCGTGGTGGGGAAAAGATTGAGACTTAAGCAGGAAAGTAAAAATTCCTTTCAGATCTTTAAACGGATACAAGGATTAATAGATAACATTTTGGAATACCATTTCGTATCAAATCAGATGCAAACACTTATTCAGGCATTTTTTTTCAACTTATATATGAAATTGATTGAAATACCGGATATCATCTCAATCTTAAATTACAGTAAATCTTGATTTGGTTCATAGTTACTGGTCACTATATGCTGGGTTGGGCACCAGTATCCAAAAGATTGTTTTCTTTGATATCGACACCACACCTTATTCCAAAAATAAGGAAACTAGCTTCAGTGCTCATACTTCACTTTTTTAACGTTTACATGATAACTATTAACTTATATAAAAGCACACATTATAATATTCTCTATATCTAACTTTTCTTATTGTATAAATTATTTAAATTCACGTGAAAATTGAGTACACTAATACATACACATGAATATGCACATATACGCGTTTGATATTTTATCTTGAGATTGTTTATCCCATGTCCATGTCACTTATGGTCTCTTATCCTTCAGTATTCCATATGAGGGACTATGCTTTTGCATGGTTTTAAATATCGAATGTTAGGGAAATATTGGATGGCCAAAATCACTACCAACACAGATATCGGGGATATGTCGTATTACAAAAAATGTATATAATACACGTGAGTATCTTATATAATGTCATATCACATCATGTGAATATATATAATATAATGTCCTAAAATGTAATCTAAATATACTTAGTGAAATCTAATCATATAAAAAATGTAAATAATATATGTCTAGGATCACTAACCAATTGTAGAAACTTACTTGGAGAAAAGAGCCTACTAGAATTTTACTAAAAATTTAAAAGGCCGAATTTTTTGCTAAAAAATATTAAAGAAATTTTGCAAAACAATATTGTTTTGTGAGAAGTCATCTAAAAGGACATATCAGCCAACATATAGAGATATATCGTCGTAAAATTGCCAAAAAGTGTGATGGATATTGAAACCATATCGTTTCGCTGCAAGTCTTATAAAAGGATCTATTAGCTATATCCCAGATATTTAAGACATGCTTTGGTTATGCTTTACTCTCTGCATCTTGTTTTCCAGATGCACCTAAACATTGGCTTTGTGGCTACAGGAGATAACAGAGGATTTTCATGGTAAAGTGATGGTCACTGGGCAGTGGTTTTATCGTCCGGAAGAAGCTGTGAGAAAAGGGGGTGGGAACTGGGAAGCAAGAGATACGAGGGAGCTATTTTATAGCTGTCATCGGGATGAAGTTCCAGCTGAATCTGTAATGCACAAGTGTGTCATTCACTTCATTCCTTTGGACAAGCAATTACCTGAACGTTTAGAACATCCTGGATTTATTGTGCAAAAAGTCTATGATTATGTCCAGAAAAGTATGTGGAATTTAACAGAAAAAGATTGCAACGATGCGCTGCAATATGAAATAGATGTGCTTGTTAAGAAAACCCAAGAGCGAATAGGTAAACTTCCTGACATTGAACTTAAAAATTCTTCTGCCAAGAAGAATGATTATTTGACAACCAAGAGGAGCCTTGCGAGGGGTAGAATGCATCAGATTGATGTATCAAGACTTGGGCCAACGACACAATTTGACAGGCTGGAAAAAGTATATTCTAGTTGCAGAGGAGATGTTTCAATGTACCATGTAATTTTATCAAAATCCAAAGTACTGACTGGCAATGCACATCGTGATAAGTGGTTAGAGAAGCTTCTTCAAGGAATTCAATTAGCATGGAGTTCAACAAAGGGTGCTGTGCAGATGGATGATAGGCATAGGAGTCATATTGTGTCTTCTATTACCCGGGTAACTGGCAAAATCAGTGCACGACGTACTGGACCTTGTGGTAGTGCTTCAGATGTAAGTTCTGTAGTCTTTTGATGCCCAAACTCATGCATTTCTTTGGAATCACCTGGTCGACTGATCATTTGGGGAAAGATAGGTGTTCACCTGATGGACTGATCATTTGGGGAAAGATAGGTGTTCTAATGCTAACCAATTCTTCTTCTTTTTTTCCCAATGCAAATGACCAGAAAGCTACATATTTTTTTGATGCTCACTAGTCTATTGTTTAACTGCTGAATCAAATTCTTCTTGCAACCTTACCTTTCTTTTTCCGTTTACCTACTTTACAAGTGCACTTACTTATCCATGTTCAAATACTGAGCAACTATTTTGGCATAATATTTTCTCAAATTAAACATTTTGAGTGAGTTGCAATTACTTAGGCTAGTTGAATTGATTTTAATAGTTTCAGCTTTAACAGTTTTCTAGCTATTCGCGTTTTCCTTCTAATGTAATGGACATTAAAAGGTGCATCGTCCATCACTTTATCATTGTCTCTGCATGCACTTTCCTTAGTTGTATTTAAACAATGAATACGTGCCATACTTATTATCTCTTTTTGTTCTCTCTAGCAAATCAAACTGATTGATGCAGTTTGGATTTTAGAAATTTATAGCAAAATTTGATGCATATCAGCAAATTAACTTATTCACATGCAAGTATCAAGTCTCTAGCGTCAGTGTTTGAGCATTACTTTCTGCCTGTCATTTTAGAGGAAAAGCCTCCCTATAAGGTGGCACTGCATCTTTCCTTATCATTTCATTTTCTATTTATACATCTGTCTCGTAGAAACCTAGGTAATTTTCCCTTTAATGTATATCGGCTTCTAATTCATTAAACTCTTCAGGTTGGTGCCAAAATAGATGCTGTTATCCCACTGATAACTGAGCTTGAGAAGGTAGTATATGAAGCTCTAGGCATGGAGTTTCAAAAGTATAACCAGAAGATGCGACAGCTTGATTATAATCTCAAGGTAGGATATTTGTAACTCACAATTTTGGGTACAGTCTGCAGCTGTTGCGATCACAATATTCTGTTCATGCAAAAGTTTGTAATTGTGTCTTAAGCTTATGAGTACTATGAATAATTATGTTATTTTCGGTTCTTTATACAATGGTAAGTTTATTTCCTAATTTCCTAAAGTACTCCTTTTATTTAATTTCTAAAGGAGTATGTGCTTTTTATTCATTTAGTTTATTTCTTAAAAGGTAAGATCTTGAATCTTTGGGTAGATTCCATTTATGTGTTATTTTTGTTGTTATCAATAAGTTTGGTAAAATTAATGGTTTTAATTGCTGCTAATGACAGATAATTGGGAACTCAGACACATGATGCAAAATCATAGAGTCAAATATACCCATGAACAGTGGACTCCAAGATCAGGTTCAACATCTTACAGAAAAAAAATTAGGTAGTAGAGATTAGATCACGAGACTGGCTAAGGCTGCATTCATGTTAGGTAGAAGAAACAACCCAGTAAGCTATCTGATGAAGGAATTTATAGTTTTTAGTCTGGGAGGTCAGATTTGTAAAGGTATATATAAATAAATAAGTAACCTCGAAGCTAGGAAGACTACATAAAACATACCGTGTATGAATTCTACCTAGTATGACATTCAGTTTCAGATTTCAGAGTTTGATGGTAGATGGAGCTAGAAGAGTCTTAAATTGCTGAAGAGCATTAAATCAATTTGTTTGTGTTGTACATGAAAGAGGAGTCAAACAAGCAGGGGAAAGTTTTTGTGGCTAGGTTCTGTTACAGAAACCGAGTCAAAATGATCCTGAATCATGACCTCTATGGGAAAGGAAAGGTCAGATTATGGGACAACAAAGAGAAGCTAAAAACTTGATCTTTACCATGATAAAGAAGTCTATACCAGTAGTTACAAAGACGGTGGTTATTGAATAACTCGAAAGAGTATGCATAAGGGTGTCATTAGGAAATTCTGAGCAAAACTTGCCTATTTTGAAAAATCAAAGGATGAGCGAGTAAATTAATTGTCTTTTACTGATCATTCAGGCAAAAAAGCTCATAACGTCTTCCTATCGTGAAATGAACTAGTGTATATCCAGAAATGTTTAAAGTGAAATATCACTTGTGCATTATATGAGGCAGTGAATAGTCCTACTAAATCTCCAGAAGACCTTTGAAGTTGATTCTTACGCATCAAAGATTTAAAAAAAAAGATTTTACCCTTGGGTCATATCTTATAGCGCTTGCGAAAGCTCATTGGGGTTTGGAACTTATTGTTATTACTTGACTTTTGATATTTTATGCCTTTATCCAATACTTGGAATTTTGGACAATATTATATCCATGAGGTGTTTATCCTGAATTGTGATATTGAAGCTGGGGTGCCTTATTCCAATAGAAAGTTAAGTTGAAAGCAAGGAAAACTTGTTGAATTCTTAGAAGTAGATGCTCATAGTTTAAAATAAGGTTGGCTTGTGAAACAAAGTGATTAATGCATCAAGCAAGACTCTTTTTCTGCCAATAACATGTCAGCTTAGTGCTTATGTCGTTAGCTGGGGCTACTAGAAGATGACCCTGCTTTAAATAGGTACTTGGGTGATATCAAGCTTGGCAGTAGGCAGGATGCTGAATTGATTATCACTTATTCTATTTTTCAAGGGCATAATATTCTTGGGGCCTGAGGGTTCCATGAAGAAACTTTTGATTTCTGATGTACATGCCTTGGGAATAAAAAAGAAAATGCACAACTAGTAGAAGAATCTTTTGTCCTACTTTCAAGCACGAGGTATGCTGATCAATATTGAACATGTAAAATTTCTAAGTTTATCAGCCAACTATAGGATTATTCCCTCTAGCATCCTCTCATATTCATTTTGCTGATAACAGCAAAGACCCGTGCATTCTATCTTGTCATTCCTGATTGGTTTTATGAGATCTATTTGTAGAATGTTTTGTTGTCGGTTGGTTCTTACAGATGAGATGTCTCAAAGCATGCAAGACAGTATAGTACAACCAAATAAAAACCTCTTATTTGGGAGATTGTTAGATTGCATGGTATGCAAAACATGTCTTGTTTGCACATGCCTACCATCTTCTCTAGATTTCACAGTTTATTCTCAATTGAAGCTCTCCCTTTATGGATGCACTCATTTCTCATCCTCGCTTTTGGTATTTTGTCACTTATTCTCTTAGTCTTTTCATTTCTGCTAATCATTTTCTGGATATTTTTCTTAGTTACAAGATTCTGGCCCATGAAGCAAAGAATTTAGCTGCACATCTGCCACAAGTAATGCAAGAATACTTATGAACAAGTTTACAGAAAGCATTAGGTGGCCTAGGTGGCAGACCCGACGCCTAGAGTCTATGTGCCTAGGCTGGGGGCCTAGGCGTTTTCCTATTTTCTCTATTTTTTTAATAACAATCAATGTTATTAAAAGCGCTAGGTACTGCTGGGTACCAAACTAGCCCTAACGCCTAGGCACTAGGCTTAGGAGGATTTCTTTTTTTGCTGATGTAGTGATGGACGAGATTTTGCTAAAGGTTAGAGGAGTTGAAGGAGGTGTTCGTAGTTGGTGAAGGCGGATGGAGGAGTTCGGAGTAGGTTGAAGGACGTAGAGGCAGCAACAGGAGAAATCAGGAGCAAGACCTAAGCAGTATAGTCCACAGTCTCCTTTCCCCTAGGCGCTCCCAAAACCTAGATGGACGGCCTAGGAATTGCTTAGTCCTTGGCGAGAGCCTAGGCAGTAGCTTTTTGAAACATTGCTTATGAAATAGAATTGTGGAGGTTAGAGTTTTGATGTAGAAGTGTCTGGAAGGATTAGGTTTCTATTCGTTAAGTTTCTGGGTTTTTTAGTAGTATGGACCATTTTCAATGCAAAGGATATTGAGAAAAAGAAAATTGCCTGCCTGTATGATCTACCTACATGACCGTTTATGCTGACAGTATGGATTCCACCAGTAGATCAAGAAAATTTTCCATGACCAACACAATTGCACCATATTTGAGATAAGAGTGCCTACTGTCTAACAGAGAGTGCCTACTGTCTAACGGAAAGAGATAAGTGACACCGATTGGCGCTAAAACTTTTCATGTTTACTTAATTGTGTTTTCCTACTTATAGTACTGTTAAATAGAGCATCTAAGAAGGTTTGAATTTGTTTACATTCGTAAAAGGAAAAAGTTCCATAATTAATTCAAAATTTATATGATTTCAATTGGACATACTCTCTAGTTCGTATGTGTTAATATTCTTTGCTTATGTTACTAATGTATCAGTCCTCTTTATATAAACACTACTTATTTAGTAAGTACTGATCAAGCAAATAGTCGAGCAGTTCAATGTGTTACATACTCTCTAGTTCGAAAGTGTGCAATTGTTACTTCTTACCACCAACTTTGTTAAAAAAGGTGGGCGACTCTAAAGATGAATGCCAGAAGGCCCAGAACATAGTTGCTAGGTTTCTGTAAGATATTGCAATGCTAATAATCTTATTGTGTGCTAGAAAAGTTCAATCACAAAGTTATGATTACATTATTATAATTATATTATGAACATTGTTGGAATGCTCGCAAAACAGCTGATTATGTGAAAAAATGCTGTAATATTTGGAGAACTTAAGGAGTAAAATTTAGTTATAATTCTAGCTTATTCCAAGTAAGTACATAATGTCAAGGCTGATGAAATGAGCCAATTTTTGAGGTGTGAGGAGAAATTTGAAAAGGAAAAATATACATGATTTTGAGATGATCGTTTACATAATTCTATACTGGTGGTTTCCGGTGTTATCAAAGGTATGAGCTTCACTACACCTCATCTGGCCTGCGACGTGGGGCAATGCTGAAGCAACCCGCGTATAATGTGGTGGTGCCTTTTTGCGCCCTGCAAGCAAGGGTGCTTCACGCAGGCCTAGTGTAAGACATAGCCTTGTATATTTTTGTCCTTTAACATTTCTATCGGGTCTTTATACCCAATAACCAATATCACGAAAAGCAAAGTAAATCCACTAGACATTTTTAGTAGTCCGATTGAGGATCCTAAATGATCCTCGTTTACTATTTGATTTTGCTTCGATATTAGTCTTGATTTGACTTTTGATTTGGAAAAATATGAACTTTACTACTATGTTGGGTGTGTTAGCATTATGAATTAAGATCTTATTTTGTGATTTGGTAATAGATATTATTTATCCTAACATATTTTTATGTGAAAATTCATAAACATGTTCTTTCATGTTTGATTATCTATCTTGAAGAATTATGTGTGTTGTGTACATGTCGCTTCACAGGCGTGCGCATCGCATCACACTTCGCACAAGTGCACGTAAAGGGACTTTGCGCCTTGCATTGCCCCTTGCACATTTATAACACTGGTGGTTTCAACTTTCAAGTTTCATGTAACAATCACACGTATAAACACATAATATCCTGTTCTGATAACACAAAGGAATAAAGGAAGGACGGGCATACCATTAACAAAAGGGAACAAATATAAAAAAAAAAGCTATAGATGTAAACTGACTCATCAAAATTAAATTGTGTTTTCTTTACCTTTTTTTTTCTTTTTAAATTTAACTATTTATTAGCGATAGATGTTTAATATTTCTTTTACAAGTAAATTCTCTTATTTTCATATATAATTCATAAATTAATTCAAAATTTATCTGATTCAAGGAAGCTGATTTTATTCTATTAAATCCTGCAGACTAACCCATTATTGAGTCGACGTTTGCTAAACAAAGAATTAGAACCCATTGCCCTTCTTACAATGACTCCAGAGGAGCTAAAGGTATCCATTGCTACCATCTTGTTTGTTCTTTGGTTGACTTGGTATATGAGCTATTTACTATTATCTAATAAATTTGCATTGTGTTATATATAAAAAAGAAGAAAAAAAGCATTGTCGCAATACTGTACAGCTCCCATATTCAAGCCTGTTACACAACATTATCTGCATTTCATTTTTGTTTTTGAGATCTCTACACTGTTTCTCTATAAAAGGTGATTTTTCTCTTTTAGAGGATGTTTGAGTCCATGGAAAATTTGAAATGCAATCGTATGAAATTTGCAAAGGTATCACATTTGTAATTGTAGCTATTTATATTTCTGTACTTGCAGACATTTTACAACTGCGGTTACAATTGAAAAAATGATTTCATTTGACCATCAGTTTTTTATTTTTTGCATAAAGTAGTTCCCTTTGGTAATTATAGTCGCAAAAAGAAACTATGAGGGTGTGTGGGGGATTATTTCTAGACGATTTGGTATCTAAACCCACCATTACTGTTTACGATAAAAATATTATAAAAATTGTGTGGGTACAATAGTCATTTCTTGGTCAGCCTAGCTTACTTAGGTGAGCTCATAAGCCACTTATTCAAAAGTTGGGGACTCGTGACTTTTAAAAGTAGGACTTAGGGGCTGTTTGGTTCCCTGTTTTTGAGGGAAAGTTACTGTTGACAGCCTGCCAAAAGTGTCAAAAGTGCCACTTTTTGGCAGGCTTTCAAGCAAAATCCTCTTTTTTAGAGGCGTTTTTGCTTAAAGCCTGCCAAAAAAGTGATACTTTGACAGGCTTTCAAGAGAAAATTTTTTTAACCAAACAGCCCCTTAAAAGCTAAGCTTAATTGGGACGCTGCTTAACATGTGGATGTGGAAAATCTAGCTTGAATGCTGCTTTGACAGAAAAGTAAATGCCTCCCTCCCCCACCACACCATCCCAACCCACAAAAAAAAGTACATCTTAAATAAGATTTAAACTTTTTTGAATCCATTAAGAGGTGCTTTTGTGTTGTATCCCTGAAGTCTTTTGCATAGTCACATGGTCCTTATTGATATACTTCTGTTTCGCTTGTTTTCTACTTTGATATATCATGACTAGCATATTTCAAAATCAAAGAAAAACTCACCTATTATCCTGTTAGATGAACCATCTTCACTTTGTTGCCGTTCTGTGCTGGTTCTCTCAACCGTTTTTTTAGATGGGCACTAGATAAAGCTATAAGGATAGAAATTGGCCTGTGCAAGTTCGAAGGACAATGGACTTGTGAGTGCACAAGTTGGATCAATTAATAGTTGATAGGCTTGGAGCTCATTTAACTCGAAAGAGAAGACCATAAAGTCAAGTCCATTCAACCATATATCAAATGATCTCGAAGTTTATGCCGAATTAATTCCACATCCTTTTCAGTTTAAACTTTCAACCAAACTAACCTATTTCATCATGCTAATTTCTTATAATTGGCTTGATAGAAGGCACATTCAACTCGTACCTCGGCCTCTATCAGTTTGAGCACAAGAACCTCTTTCCCCTATAGCAAGCAGAATGAGTCTGTAAGTCCCTAGTATAGAAGGTGGTAAGGCAGCTTGTTTTTCATTAATCCCTCTCCATGTGTGGTAAGCAACTGTTAGCCTAATCTTTTTTGGACATCAAACCTGTGTCATATGCTCATCTCGTCAATGTTTGAAAGAACCATGATCTCTGATATCACTTCTGAGGGAGTTAATAAAGGCTTAGCTCAGGAGCCAGTACTCGAGATAGACGGTGTAATAAGCATGGAAGTCCATTCCATCCAGATGAGGAAACATTATGATCCAGTCTATGTTACCTGTAGCTCTCACGCCTTCCTTTCAAACAAACCCAAGAGCTCACTGTTATCAGACTACTTTCCATATTGGATTCTATATGAGACATAATCCGACAGCACTGGCGGAAAAAAATAGAAGTTTGACACACTGAGACATTGCCCCAGTATACGCCTTGAGTAACAGGAGGTGCAATTAGAGTTATATAACCATAAACATGTCAGTTCATAAGGAGTCTAGTTCATATAATGGAGTCTTCCCAGCTTCAAAAATCCCCTAAATTTGTTTTCTGTCTCATATATGGTAACCTATTAGTGGGTTCTATGCAAGGACAGACACAACCTGTATCCAGCATGGTTTCCATTTTCAATGCAAAGCAAAAGAATGACCATGAGTATGTCAATATATGGTAAACAGTTGCCACTGACTTGCAGGGACAAAAGTAGAGTGATACTTGATCGTTTGTTGTTTACCGTTTATCCAGTCCCCCCTCCATTCTATCAGTCGCCATACTTGTATTATTTCTTGAGCTTCTTGCAGCCAGGGAATTCACCCTCTATTTGATACAGATTTTATATAGATTGCATGTTAATTGTGAAATAAAATATTCAGCCATGATGTGAGACTAGTCTACATCCCCTTGATGAAGGGATTTAAGTTGCGAGATTTCTTAGTTATTACCCTCAAATTGATGGCCAGCTGCCAGCAGAAGTTATGGTTCAGAGTTTTGGATGTTTATTAGGTTCAACAAAAATTAGAAGGTAATTCCAGTAACCCCTCTCTGGATATTGTCATATCAGCTATTTGAAAATATTTTTCACTCACTTGTTTTCATGAGTGTTTCCCTTGTGTTTAGTTTAGTTTCGTGGTTGTCTGATAACTAAGTCATGAAACTAGCACCATACTGAAAACAAAGCTTAGATTCATAAGAATAAGATTGTCCACTTTGATAACAATACTAGTGATTTTGTCCCTTGTCACCCGGCCTGTGCAATAACCATCAATAGGGGTGATATTACAGGCAAAGTGAAGGCTTTATAGTAGGGGTTGTTTATCATGGACATGCAGTGAAATCAACCATTGAACATGATTTGGATACCTATTTTGAAGGTTTCCAACCTGTTGTGTCAATCACCGAGTCACGTCATCTTAGAATACTGGAGATGATGAGCAACTTTCTTATGGTGACTAATACAACAGACTTTCACCTGTGGACATTGGACAGAAGCCTGTGTCATGCCACCAATTAGATGAAGAAAATTTCCCTCAAATATATCCTGAAAAAGCATATTAGTTCTAATTTGTTCTTGCGAGAAGACTTAATTAAGATTGATGCAATATGGTCACTGATCTTCTCCAAAATTCAGGATCTTATGGTGGGAAGTCATTTGAGAATGCTTTAAAAATGATAAGTTAATACCTATTCAATCCCTACTATCATTTTCGTATTTAACCAGCAAGGCCTACTTGTTGTGTCCTTATTTTGTGCTACAGAAACCAAAATTAGCGCATGATACTCATTCAAATGATTTTTTTTTTCAAGTGCCACCTGTTTCATATTTAGGCAGTTGATTGATCTGATCAATATTTGAGTGAAACTTTATGGTGAAGTCTTGAATGTCAGTAGTGTGACATCCCACTAATTTAGTCCCACATCGGTGGGAGAGTGAAAATGTGAGGTGTTTATATAGTGAAAGCTAAAGACTCAAGTGTAACATCGGCTAGTCGATTTTGGCAGTGGTTTGAGCCAAACAATGCGTTATACTCGGTGGGTCCCACGGCTTGCACCCCCAACGGGCTTGCGGGCCGGAGCGTAACAAATGGTATCAGAGCAGTTGCCAACTGGAAGTGTGGAGCTAAGTACTATGCAAGACTAAGTGCTACACCGTGTGGATGCGGTAGGAGCCACCTCTAGAGCATGTAGGAGACACCCCTAGAGTCCATATCGTCTGGCGGCGATACTGAGATGTGTTAATTGTCATGCCGCGACGAGAACGTCGCCTTTGTAAGAGCAAGTCCAGCAAGCTCCCAGTTGGGAGTCCTAATCAGCAAGCTCTCAAGAGCTCTCAAGCATTTTGATATAAAAAATTATAAAAATAGGCCTTGGGAGCATCGAGAGAATTGAGAATTGAGAATTGAGAGTTGTGTGGAAATCTTTGTGGAGTGAATTGAGAATTTATAGAGTAATTTTTTACTGTTCATGCCAGTTTTTTCATCTCAACGGCTAAATTTTTCACTCAACGTTCATTTTTTTTACCGTTCAATTCAACAACGGCTCTCAATTAACGTCAACATCTCAACGATTATCTTTTTCATGCTCCAACAATATCAAAAAAAACCCTCTTCTATTTTAATATTTTACCCATTACTTTTAATTATATTTAAATCTCTTGTATTTTATTTCTAACCGTTCATTTTTTTTTACCGTTCAATTCAACAACGGCTCTCAATTAACGTCAACATCTCAACGATTATCTTTTTCATCTTATCTTATTACATTTTTTCTTTTCACTCAAATAACCAGACCCACCCAATTAAATCCCCAATCCATCGTCTTCCTCTCCGTCTCCTTCAACCCATATCTGCAAAATCCCAAAATCCCCAATCCCTTCGGCCACGACGACCACCTCCTCCTCTTTGGCTCGCGGTCCTCTTCGGCGACGACGGCCACAGGCCACGACGACCACCTCCTCCTCTTCGGCGACGCGGTCCTCTTCGCGGTCCTCTCGCGTCGTTGAACTGTTACGGTATGGGGCTTTGTGGGGGGGGGGGGGTTGTAAAATTTCACCCCAGTTCGGAGCTCCCAAGCGCTCCACAAATTTGTGGAGCGCTTGGGAGCTCTGAAGGAAACCATCGCCACGTAGGAACGGAGGGTATGCTTGGGAGCGGCTTTAGAGCTTGCTGGAGGGGGGATTGGCAACAACCATCGCCACGTCAGCCTTCAGAGCCGAGTTCGGAGCTTGCTGGACCTGCTCTAAAAGCATGTTTCACTTCATGGAAAAACATGATAGAAAATTGTGCTCATTAACATGCTCAAGGATTGTCGCTGTTATACTCTCTCAAAAAACACCGAATAGCGTTAATTATAATAATTAGAATAGCGAAGGAAAAGGAAGTTACACAAAGTTGTATCTTATTTATCTTTATAAACCTTCAGCGTAAATATACAAGCATTTTTAAACAATTAGAATAGCGAAGGGAAAGGATGTTACACAAATTTGTATCCTAATTGATCTTTGATGAACAGAAACAATCAGATAGATCACTTCAACCCCTATGTCTTGGACTGTAGCCTAACCTTTTAGTTTCAAAATAGAAAATAAATTGGAGTGCAGATTTTGCTCATGGAAAATAAATATGTACACTTTCAGGATAGTCCAATTAAATCCTTTTTTATCTGCGCGGAATTGATAATCTAGGCTGTATATCTACCATGACCACCTGAGAGTGATAAGATAACACGCCTTTTCAATTAGGTGCATTTTCTTCTAAAGCCAAGTTGCTTATCTAACTTGGGAGTTTGACAAATGTTCAT